GTTGCTAAGCTCGTTTCAGATATCAGCTGGCTTGTATAAGCTTGTGTTATAGTCTGTCAGGGTATCACATTGTTTTATATTATCCTGGTTTACTTTCTACGACCAGATATCAGGTGTATTCCTGTTTCAGACTGGTGAGAGGCTTCAAATCACAACAACCACTTCAACCATGGTTGGTAGGGATACTGAGATCAGGTACAATCCTAACTTATAATGCAGAGAAGCAGTTACAACAATATTCAAAATATGACAACAAAAAACTGTTCCAGGTTTTGGGTACAATACAGCGTTTGAAACTTAGTGCTTTTCCATGTCTGACTGGGATGCCGTCTGTTTGGCATCACAGTGACTGAGTGAGTTTTACGCTGCTTTTAACAATGTTCCAGCAATATCACGGTGGGGCACACTAGAAATGGGCTTCACAAATTGTGCCCATGTGGGGAATCAAACCCGGTTCTTTGGCATGCCGAGCGAACACCTTAACCATTAGGCTACCCCACCGCCCCCGGCATCAAAGTGAGTGCCATGACGTCATAATAGTGACATGGAGTCCTGAACTAAACCTTGCAGGGCTTGCATTGGGCGTCTCTTTATGATGGGTTAAAACATTAGGTGCACTAAACACTTTTGTGGTTTGTCATATCTGTGGGTACAGTATAATGATGTGAGAGAAAACAGACCATTTCAGAACCACCCACACTTAACAGTGGACTCAACCACTTCACTCAATATCTTCATCTGTGAGTACACATTTATTTAGAGATGGTAGAATGGAGGTAATCACTTAGTGGTTTCAGTGTACAGCAAGGTTACATGTAGCCATACTAAATTAAACATTTAAAACCGCACGCAGGCGCTTGGTCCCAAATGTTAAATTCAGTATAGTTAAGTTATCAGGTAGTCTATGTCTGTGTTGAAAACGCAGTATGTCTGTCTCGTAATTATTCTGAAATAATGGTTAGAAAAACCATGCATCCAATTTTCATGACAGTTCATGAATCATCCGCAAATGCAAAACATGCATAATTGGAGTAGAGAAAAGTACACAGCGACAAATAAAGAAGGGACATTATCGTTGTTGGAATCCCATTCTATCTCCAATCCTGACTTCCTGAAACTATTTCCAACCCAGCATCTCAACAACTCTCTGTCACACTAGATTCTTAGTGCTAATGTACTTGGAACTAATCTGTGGACAGCAAAGAAATACTACAAGGAACCATCCCTTCCCTCAAACTCAAACGATTACATGTATATAGATGATAGACACATGACAAACTAGTACATATTTTATGTATTTCTCCTCATTTTCAAAGATTCTTGACATACTCAGTGTTTAATTTCAAGATTCCTCCACTGAAAGAAGTGATGAGTCTGCGTGATGATGAAAGCCAACAGTACAAGTAACATGCCCTCAAGATAAGCAGATTGTGACCAGTTTGAAGTAAGCTGTTCTTCCAAACCCTGTCTTTGATTGAAGCTATCCACCTCAAGTGTGTCACAGAAGGCTGCAGGACATGCTAGACTTTGATCTGAAGAACCAATACAGCTCAGTCAGTAAGTCTGTCTTGCACACAGGATGAGTTATTGGGTCCACCCAACAAAGTTCCGATACACTTGGTCTTGTAACTGATCTGGTGGGAGAGGATACAGCTAATGCAGCATGTCAAAATTGAGTTCATTTTAAAAATATAGCTGATAATATTACTGGACTGACTGACTTAGGTTTTACGCCGCTTTTAGCAATATTCCAGCAACATCACATCCGGGGCAGAAAACATCACACCCATGGGGACACCAGAAATGGGCTTCACACATTGTACCCCAATATTACTGGAGTAGAACAGTGCACCAGGAAGTTTTCCATACACGTAGCTACACAGCATAGTGGTTCATGATGGATTCAATAATATTGCTCTTGTTTGAATGCATTTCATGTAGAAACTTCCCAACAGCATCCAGAAAATGGAAACATTTAAGGAGTGAATCAAAGTCATATTTATTGACATTATTCAGCTGATGAAGACAGGGCCTTATATGAGCAAATTACATGATGCGCAAAGCACTTCATGTTAAATTGTTCCTGTGAGGAACTGCCTATTCCATTGAAACCATATTTGTTAGAGGCCAAGCATCTATTCTGTTTAAGGTGGCAAAAGGACAACTCACTACTTCATTTGTCACTAATTCACAAATTCCATTTGCAGGAAGAATCAACACACCGCAGTATGAGAGACACAGCTTCTATATTTTGGACAGCGTATGGCCCAGAGTCAAATGGAGGCTGGCATATTTTAGGAGTCTTGGAACTAACAGAGGAAATACAGCATTGAAAACTCCTCATTCATAACTGAACAATATTATTTTCTTACTCACCAATGAGAAGAGTATACTTGCAAACAAAAATAAATGGCAGATTCATATTAAAGAAAATATGGAAGTAGTAACTGAACACCTTCAAGTAATTAAATCCGCACATCAAAGAGCTAACAAAAAAACTGACTATAAACACAAACACTTTCCATGGCATATCCATTTTCATAATGTTATATCAGCAACTGCTCACACTTTAAAGAAATGCTGAATAATTCTCAAGCTCACAACATATATTGCAGTTAGTCTCTCACCAACATAGGAAAGAAGTAGTTTCATTTTTTTCATAATCTGGTAACTGCTGCCCAACACATTCCTGTTTCATGGTTTGCCTCTCAGCTCATGGCAGCATTATACAGCCAAGGGCTTCACACAAAAAATACTCTGTTGGACACAAATGGTGGTTAACTGTTGGCAGCTCTGCATGCCTACAGTAAGTTTCCGGTTAAATAGGGAGCTGTCTCAAGATGTATTGATTGGCTATCGGAATTATACAGCTCCTACACATGTTTACTATTGGAAAAGGAAAAATATTATTCTCTTCATTTACACTTCCTTTTTTGCTTCATGAAAATGTTCTTGTATCCACATACTACAAGCACAAGACCTGTACAGATACTCCGCAAACAGAATGAAATCATTAATAAGTTATAAGTTTACAGGACTCATGGATCTACTGTAATTTGGTGAGGCAAACTTATAATTGTTATAGTCATAAAAACAGACAAGAAGAAAATGTTGGCAAATGAAGCTGCTGCTAGTTAACCGTCACAAAACACGATCAAAACACAGTTGAGACAAAATTCAGATCACAAACATGCAAATTCACTTAAACTATCAACGTGTATTGCATGTGACCTGTTTGGGATCTGTACTTGCAACATTGTGTTAAAGTTCATCCGTCCTGTATAGTTTGGCCACTTGGCAACAGTAAACACACACCCTGAGTGAAGCAGAAAGCAAAAATACAATCAGCCATTTGCAAACTGTTGAATCCATGTAAACCTCCACAATGCCATTTCCTTCTTACCAAACACAATTACAAGACTCTGGAACCATTATCAAAAACAAGGCATCACACGGTCATGATAAACAGTTTCACAGATCTGGTAGATAACATATGACCACAGCCCAAGATGGATTCATCCACCTAGTATATGTTTGTTTGTTGTTGAACGCTCCACTCAGCAATATTCAAGCTATATGGAGTCAGTTTGTAAATAATAAAGTCTGGATCAAACAATCCAGTGATCAACAGCAAAAGCATCAATCTATGCAATTGGGATATAATGACAAGTGCCAACCAAGTCAGCAGGCTTGACCACCCGATCCCATTAGTTGCATCATATGACAAGCATAGGTTACTGAAGACCAATTCTAACCCAGATCTTCACGTGTACTGCATTTTATGACAACCGCATCAACCTGTATATCATCTGCCTTTTTAGCCCTCATAGAGAACGACTACCAAGGTAAGTTAGGTCTTCAAGCCTGTATGAGGTGGCATTTTATAGACCAACCTCAACAATGACAGCATGTTACTATCAAAAAGGCATGGCCACAATGCCAATGGACAACTGGGTGGATCAACAAGTTATACCTTTTTGCTTTGTTCGACAGATGGAAGACATGAATGTTTTGCACAAAACTGCATGCAAGAAGTTGACAGATTCGTAAGGGTAGTGTAAACGTGTGATCAGCAATCTCACTAAATGGCCAGCCTGGATCAAGCTCAGGCAACTTAATTGCACGACAGTACAGAGATGAAATTCTGCTGCCTAATCCTGTTCTGCAGGACACAATTAACATAATGCAGCACGATAATGCCAGATCACACACACAGTGACACATGACGTGTGCAGGTCCTGCTTTGGTTCCCTCGGTCAGCGGATGCCACACAGCACTTACAGGATTACAAGGGTGCGAGCTGAATATGGGAACCAAGCCCTGTACTGTCCTTGACTTCTGCCACTTTGGTGAAACCCATGAATATGATTTTGAAAAAAAAAGAATCGTAACCAGTGTGAATCTTTGGTCTCAAACATGATCATTAAATTTTGTCACAACCATGGGACCTGAGTCTGAGAACTGCTATGACCTAGACAACTCATCCTCCAAAGAGGTTTCCGAGGTCCAAAAGCATGAACATGAAAGATATGAGTGGTAAAAGGTACTTGTCCAGACAAAGCTGTCCATGGGTTAAAGAGACAGGTATGACACTGCATGCTGGTGTATAAACAAAGGTTTACATACTGACATTCCCCCCATGCTTCTTCTGGAACAGCTCCAATGGCATTGTGGTCAACACTGAACAGTAGAGACCATCATGACTCCACATTCACTCAACTGGTCCCCGCTGCACAAAGCTATCTTAATGCTAAGGTCATCATACCTCCCATACTCAGTTTACAATAGCTTTTAGAGCCTTGGGGTCCATTTCACAAAGCGATCGTAGTGCTACGACTGTCGTAAGTCCATGTTAAAGTAATAGAGTTACGATCACCTTAGTGCTATGATCGCTTTGTGAAATGGGGCCCTGTATAGTAGTTACTACGACAGTCGTAGTGCTACGATAGTTTTGTGAAACAGGGCCCAGGCCCTTGACTTGATAGTAAGACAATACTTACCCCTTGTTCGGCTTCTAAAAATAGCAACAGGTCATCAGTGGACATGTAATCTGCATTGCTTGCATACCTGAAAACAAATAACGCTATTATTACTCCACATCAGCTGTAATTACACAAATGCATCTGGTCAGAGATTGTTTGTTGTTTCAGCAGCACTCAGCAATATTCTAGCTATAAGATAGTGGTATGTAAATAATTGAGTCTGAACAAGACAATCCAGTGATTAACATCATGACAATTGATCTACTCAACTAGGTTACGATGACATGCATCAGCCATGTCAGCGAGCCCCAGACCATCTGAACCTGTTAAGTGCCTCTTATGCAATGGTCAGAGATAAGCAAATTCAGGAAGAACTATTTCCCCGAGCTCTACCACCGAAACTATAACAAAAACAGCAGCTCAGCATCTGAGACTTGTGGAAATTTATATATATATATATTTCTAGCCTTTAATGCAATCAGAAGTTTATTTTGTTTCACATTTTCTAAGACAAGAAGAATTAAGTTCATGTTTCATTACATATAGTAAAGATTATTTAAGTAATCTGCATGTAGAAGTATTGAAAATTCCAAATAAAACCACACACCATAAATCATTTATTACTTTACCAGTCACCAAAAATTACACAGGCAGCAAACGATGATAAATGAAAAGAACACTGTGTATGACTGCTGTCAACAATGCTGAAACTAGGGTTATAATTGATACTCACCAGAGGTTGACGATCCATTTATTTTGGACGTAATAACACAACCAGCCAGGTCAACCAGCCGGTGTTGAACCAAACTACTTAGCATATACATCATATAGAAAAGTACACACCATTTTGAATAAAGATGGCTGAGTAATGGCTAATAATATGATTTTATGCATGGCCACTGTGGCAGCCATATTGAAAACTGGATTTAAACCTCATAAACAAACTGGGGGTTCATCGGTATTGGAAACAAGCCTGAGAAGTTGCAGTTTCACTGGACAAGTGATTTCTGAGAAGATGTGAGGGGGGCGGTGGGTAAAGCTTTTCTCATCACGCTGAAGACCTGGGTTCGATTCACCACATGGGTACAATGTGTGAAGCCCATTTCTGGTGTCACCCACTGTGATATTGCTGAAATATTGCTAAAAGCGGCGTAAAACCAAACTCACTAACTTTGAGAAGATGTTTACACTGGACAAACAGTCTGTAACAAAAGCTGGCTTGACTCAGTTGGATCATGTAAAAAGTAAGTCTGCTTAGGGAAATAATGTGACGGAAGGCTTTGACTCATTACCAAAAAAAACAGATTTGTCTTCTTCTTTCCTTTTAACATCAAACCAACACTTCTTTGAAGAGACATCATTCGAATCTTACTTTATTTCAATGTCAACCATCAACCTTGCGGTGTTGTGAAAATAATCTATAAACCAAGTAATAAAGAAACAGTATTTCCCCTACAACAATCAATCACAGACGGATCAAGAATATAAGCCACATTTCATTACACAGCCTTCTGGCAGAGCTGAGTATAAAAAAAACAACACCAAAGAAATTGTGAAGGTCACACTGCTGAAAAAGCACAAATCATGACAAAAAATATTTTCTTCAACTCAATTTATCTCCACATCTGAGACAGCTGTTGTACAAATCAAAGAATCCATAAACAAATTTAAATGAAGCAAAAGTGAAACTTCAATTTAAAATATATTAGGAAGCTCCACACTTACAATCACTTCACTGTAAACATAATTCTCCAAAAGTCATTACTTGAGCACAGTTTGAAATGATGATGTTGATCTTGAGAATGTTACATCAGAAGGTGTTATTTTGTGAATCTTAATCACTGTTAAATTCCCTGGCATTGATGTTTCTTGTGAAAGCAACTAAAAGTGATGACATCACAAGTCCAAAAGTGATCACATAAACCAACACTTTGATTTTCTCTCTATTCCTGTCTTTGCCAGAAGGTGCCACCAGCAACCCTGTCATCTGACACTACAATTCATTGTACAGAATTGCTTCCCCTAGCCATGTCAGGATCTGCTGATATTGGTTGAAAAATACTGTGATCTTTGGTCTGTCAGTATATATGACCTGTCAGTTTGAGCTTCCCACAATAAAAAAAATATGACATAATAACAAAAACACTATTCAAAACAAGACACCCCGCTGTGATATTGCTGGAATATTGCTAAAAGCGGCATAAAACTAAACTCACTCACTCAAAACAAGATGGCTCATCAGTATATGATCATTTCAACTAGGTGAGTGAGTGAGTGAGTTAATATTTAACGTCACATCGGCAATATTTCAGCCATATCGTGACGAGAACATTTTACATTGTAATGGAATATGTATATATTATAAAACCTGTCATCGAAAACAGTAAAGCAACTAGAGTATTACAGATATATATATGTAAAACTAGTAATTGAATCTAAAACATTTTAACCATGGGGGACAACACAATCTAAAAATGGGCTATAGATCGCTAACAACTGAAGGTAGATCACCATACTAGGGACCATGGGGACTTACAGTACATTTGCTTCCTGCATGGGCCCTAGCTGGATTTATATCATCCCCTCAGCCGTTAGCAATTAAGACATATCTAGCCATACATTAAAATTACAAATATTCTACGATTAAAAAACGGAAAGTTGAAATTTACTTTGAATGTTTTCGGACTTACGTACCCTCTCAGGAGGACATTTCAACTAGGACTTACCTAGACCAGCTATTAGGATGTTATTAGGATAGTATTTGCTGATATTAAGTCCACAGTAAAAGAAACAATAAATTCCTTATTTGAATTTAAAAAATAACATTGTATCAAAATTTCCGAAAATAACAACATTTTAAAAAATCCAATTTTGACCAATATTACAATATTGGATGAAACTGTACGTTCCAGGGGCACTTAGTTTGCAATCCTAAATAAATCCCAAAGTCGATCAGAATTCCCATAAATTGACAAGTTAAAACCAACTAACCTCTCTGTCCAACAACATGACAAATATTTCAGTGATCTAAAATGGTTGTTATATTTCAAGGCTGCGTAGGGGAGGCTATAAGCTGTCACACATAATATTTCAGCACTATCACAAAGATACCAAATGCTGGTTTCACACACTGCACACATTAAGCAAAATGGACCCAAGATAATCACTAGAAAGTGTTTTTACTTGTAAAAACAGATGTTTCCCCCTTCCCCCAATTCAACGGTGAGACCTCAAACAATTCATTTGATTCCTTCAATTTCAAAATCTCTAAGTATGAAAAAATATAATTGAAAAAAAAACTCCAAACAACTCAAACCCCCAAAAGGCACATCTACATGATATGGAGAGGCAGTATACCAAATTTGGTGAAGATTGTTCAAGTAGTTTTAGAGTAGACAGAAAATACAAAATTATGGCAAAAAATTACTATAGCCATTCAACCCCAGTGCTGCCCAATCCTCTAATGAACCCATTGTCTTCCTCCTTATCCTCATCATCCACCATTGACTGTGCTTGGAGATGGGTTAGTCTGTCTCACAGTCCCTGAGCCACAATATTTTCCCTACTGTCGACCCCTCCCTGCAATGCTAAAGCCTGAAATGAAAGTCGAGATTTCCTCAGGTTCTGAATGTACTATCTCACTTGGGCTCTTTCAGTTTAAATGGGATCATTTGTTACTATCGAAATCAAATATATTCAGCAGAGACTAGCTTTAGTCTAGATATGGGAATGAACTCTTCAGAAATCTAGCAAGAAGGTCAAAACATATGAGTGGAGAGGTCAAAGTTTAAGGTAAATCTATTCTTCAACTGTGAAAACATGCTGGTAACAGGTATAAGGTGGGGAGGCCTCACTATAATATTATTCTTAGTGTAAGGTAAATCTTTTCATTGGTACAATGCCATTTAACTTTTTGCTGTGAACATAGTGAAGAGTGTTGGCATGTTGCCAACCCAATCACAGACAGACTTTGGTGATCTGATACTGACAATACCTTTCAACAACTCCTTACAGATGACTTTCTTCTCTATATATAATCAGTACAAGACAATTAGCAAACATATCAGGTGACTAGTCTCACATCTGTCTGTAGCAACCACTGCTGTGTTTCTTCAGTGGCAAGATTACGTGTGAGTTACAACCTTCATGTCTAGACCTTCTGAAGCTGCAAGAATTTGTAAATCCCATGTACCCTTCATTTGTAGGATCCTTGGAATGGGATTTGCCAGGACAGGGCATTTAGTTATGAGGGACAGTTGCTTCAGTAGCCAGATAGGGCCACACCTTGGTAGCCTGCCTGAATATGTGAGTGAGTAAGATTAACACCGCTTTTAGCAATATTCCAGCAATATCATGGCATGACAAGCGAACGCTTTAACCACTAGGCTACCCCACCACCCCGCCTGGATATGCAGTTAACTGTTTAATATGCCAATACAGACACGCACTTAAACAGTTGGGTTATAAATATTGAGGACTTATAATGGACAATAAAAGTTACTGATATTTCGCAAAATATGATACCCAATATGATCAATCAGTTTTGTTGTAGAGGCTGGTAGCTATTGTCTGATTCCATGAGGGGCAGTGGTGTAGCAAAGTGGTTAAAGCATTCTGTGACATGTTTGTACCCTGTTGGCTTGCAACATTGTTCATGATATCAACCTGAGGTTTCTTTGGATCAGAATTCTATACATAAAGGTCGTCATGACATGCATGACTGTGGACATTTTTCTGATTTTGAAGAACATTTCACAGGAAAGTTTTCTGTGTCATTACCATGTATGAATGACTTTAGGACATTTTGGATAACAATCAGTTGATGACGTAGAAAACTATCAGCCACCCGTTTCTGGATGAGAATTGATTACATACTACTCAATTTATGATAAGGATAATCAGTTGGCATTCTATGCATATATATAACATACAATATATAAACAATTGACGTATTTTAAGACACATTTGTGTTTCATAGAAAGATAAACAATGATCCTATCAAAACTGAGTGCGCGAGTTATTTAATTTCACGCTCCTTTTAGCAATATTCCAGCAATATCACTGCAGGGGACACCTGAAATGTGCTTCACACATTGTACCCACATGGGGAATCGAACCCAGGTCTTCAGTGTGACGAGTGAACGCTTTAACCACAAGGCTACCCCACTGCCCCCTATCAAAACTATTGTAGTGTATGTTGGTAGGCATTTCATAGACGGTAGGCTGCTTATGGACAGGGCATTGAAAATTACACACTCATATTTGAAGAACTCTTCTTTGATTTTGTTTGTATTTTCAGTTGATTTCATTTGTTTTCAATCAGACATGTTGTAATAGTCTCCTTGTAATAATCGCCAAAGAAAACAATTGTCTCAAGCCATGTCAGTCTTTCAGCTTATTGAAGTCAAATCAGAAACAATTTGCCTGAATAATTGGTTGATTGAGGCCATGGGTCATAGAATCTCATCCCCTCCTTGTGGTCAGATTTCCTGTGGGAGCTATTACCGTAAGAACTTAATTTGATCGGATGCACACTGCTGGTGGGAGAGTCATATGGACTCCACCTTAGCGTGAACACAAATGAAGCCTTCCGATTACGAAAGATATTTCATAACTTCCTCGGCAGTTTAATTCTGTTTCACGGCGGATATCCGCAATTATGATCACAGATATTGATGGTGATTTATATAAGGTTGCTCATTATGGGATTGTTGAAAGGTAGTGGTTGGATTTCTGGCAGGCGTTCTTATTAGACGGTAATCAGTTTTGATCTACCTCTGCCCTACTCTCAATCATACCCTGTGAAGTTCCGCGTTAGAATTTAGTCCTCAGCAACTGATGCTTTTCATAAAGAGGTGCCCTGCGATCGGATGATCAGGTTTGCCGACTCGGATGATGCCTGTCACCATATGCTGATGGTGTACGTCATTTCAGTTCGACAACGTCAACAACATATTGACTTCAATCACAACAACATACTGACTTCAATCACAACAACATAATGAAAACATAGCTTCGTTGGCTTGTTGTTTAATGCTGCACTCAACATTCCAGCTATAGAGTGGCAGTCTGTAAATAACTGACTCTGGACCAGGCACAATTCCGATAGTCGCCTCTTACAACAAGCATGGGTTACTGAAGACCAATTCTACCCCAGATCTTGAAACCAATGTCAACAGTATATTGACCCCAATAATGTATCTACTATCTGACTTCATACATCGTGAGAGTCTAGTTAACTAAAGCCATTCTTTTGTCAGTAAAAAGGACATCTTATTTCCAATACCTATCCCATGAAATCCATACTCAACTAACCCATTCTTTTGTCATCAAACAAATTTGTATAAGGTCGAAAATCAGATCTGTAGGATTCATTTATCTGTAAAAGATTTCAATTTCTAATTGTATTAGTTGTGCTGAAACATGAAACACCTACAATTAGACTGGCCAAACAACTATTATCATTAAATGTCATCAACATCTATTCCTGTTGAATTTCTTGATTACCTGTGCCGCAACATGAAAAATATGTCAACACAGCAAGAATCTGATTGCTAATAACCATGCTCACCGAACTAGGAGAAAATATATTTCTGGGCGCGTTGAGATTTCTTTGAAAAGGGAGATGAACTCATCACTGTTTAACCTTCCTCTTTTGCCTTCTCGTCTTTTCATCTCTAGTTCCTGCAACAAAAGAAGGAGAACTTGTGAAATAAACCAATTATTTACATCACAATTACTATGTAAATATTAAAAGAAAGAACAAAAAAACTGGAAAGTTTAGCAATGAGGAATTACTCATTATAGTACACCATCAATACTTCCACTTTCGTCAAATTAGTAGCTTTGGTCCAAGGTTGCACTGAATACTAAGCCCATGGCGGTATAGTAATGCTGTCCTTTAAAGAGGCAAGCCTAGATAACTTGTCAGTTCTAGGGATGTCAGTCTGTTAGAGGGACAGTGTGTTAATTTTATTTATATTTTTAGAAATATTCAAAGAAATATTGATTATTTATCTTAGAGACCTGTGCAAGTCTGTCAAATTAGGAGCAGCCAGGTTTATCAATGATCACATATTATTGAGACTGTTGCCTGGTTGTGGCCCCATCACACAGACAAAGCTGTACAATACAAGACCAGTCCTGCACTGGGGAAATCCTAATTAGCAGATATTAATCTGAAGGAGGCCGGTGGATTGAATAAATATTGTAGTCATTAACTGAAGCTGCTTCTCCGCTGCATTTGACTACAAAAGTTAAGTATGGATAAAGATAATCTCCTGAGACAGGCATCACTTCGGAGGGAAACACCATTAGCTTGTCTCCCCTTCCATTTAGCTTGTGTAAAGCTTAAAGGCATGCCATTAAGCTATCTATAGCATTCATTAGGAAGAGGTATTAACACCAAGTATTTTTTGGTGCAAAGAGGAACATTGTATGGATATTTGAACCAAGTCCACACAAACATGATGTGCTGGTATGTGGTTTTTCTCCTGTTTGCTGTTATAGTGATGGTAGAGTAACTGGAGAGGTTGACGCGACACTGGAAGTATAAGTAGCAATAGTGGGAGAAATACAAGCCTAAAATTGCAGCTGTGGTGGTGGGAGACATATAAGTCTAGAGTTCAATATATTTGTTATATCACCAGCTGAAGTGGTGGGACAATTACAAGCCCAGAGTTAGATATTATTGTTATATCACCAGCTGCAGTGGTGGGACAATTACAAGCCTAGAGTTAGATATTATTGTTATATCACCAGCTGCAGTGGTGGGACAATTACAAGCCTAGAGTTAGATATTATTGTTATATCACCAGCTGCAGTGGTGAGAGCAAAACAAGCCTTGAGTTGAAATAGAATGCCTTACAGATTTTCTGCAGAATGTAGAAACCACTATTTTTCATTCCTTAGACATGCGTCCATGTTTGATATGTCAAAATTGTAAATGCCATGCACGTAATAAACAGAAAATACAATTGTCATTAGTCAGAGGAATTTATATCAGAACTTTTAAACAATATTAAATCTTTGAGTTGAGGTTTGAAATTTGTATTTCATTTTATCGTTAAAAGGGCCCATATAACACTTCAGCCTTTCTCTAAATCACCCTGTGAAGACCAGGGAGAACCAGACTCAAGCTGACCCTGTCCAAACATTCCAAGCATGGCCCATCAACCCCTTCACATAGCCAACCTGTGAACCATCAAAGCATCAGACTTCTCCCAGAGTTTTTTGTTTTAATTAGAAACAACATCTAAGGTTTTCCCCAAACAATCTGTTTACTTCTAGCGGTGTGTTGTGTGTAGCTCAACCTACTGGCTGTAGGCTGTGTCCTACAGGGCCCGGTGTTCAGCCTCCAGACTGCACCACCGTAACCAAATTAACACCACTTGAATGCAGGAATCATCAAGAGACTTAATGAGAGCTGCTTGCTGAGACTTATTATGCCAAGACCTCCACAAACTATCGTTGACTGAATGCCACCTTGAAGTTAAAAGACCACCGAACATTACATACACTTGTACCACTCCTTGGTTTTTAATAGAGTTTACAAAGTGATCTTGGAAATGGAGATGTATTTAGTTCAAGTATTCTCAAAGTTAATGCAGGTAGGTATTGCAAACATAGTTTTTCTATTAAAATGTTATAAAGCAGAGAGGACCAAGAGCTGCTGGAAATGAGGAAAAGAGGAATGAAACCTCAAAATGTGGCATTCATTGGCAAGCCTTTGGGGGAGGGTGTGACTGGATCAAATACTGAAAATTCCTTTAATTTTCTTTCGGTGAAACTGATCAAGAAAAAGGCAATTTATAGTTAATTTTTCATCAAATAAAATAGGATTGTTTTTTGTTGCTTATACTGCAATGTTCCACAAAGTCAAATGAAGAGAATGAATTGGAAGTTGAGCTTTGGCTTTTTGTGTGACAAACAAACACTTGTATCACCAGGCTGCTGCGGTGACATTAAAAAAACAGAACTGTGCAGAAAATTGATTACATCCACCAACAACAGAGTGTCATATTGAGTGTAAGAAGCAACATCTCCATAATGCATGTTCAAAACCATCAATGAAACAAATATCATAAATATTTTAGCTGTAGTAGGTAGCTGACCGCTCAAATATTTCATCAGTGATTCACTGACCGGATATTTGTTCTCATGAAAAATGGAGAATTTGACATTTCCAAACTTTCAAAATGGCAAGAGGTATGAATGAATACATGGCTAGACTGATATCTGCAAAAATTTGGTGAGAAAATATTGGATGGTCTTTGAGGTATGCTCCGGGTACAAATTTTGATGGACAGACATCATCCCTTTCTATATCTCCCAGCAACTTTGTGGCAAGGGATAATAAGAGTAAGCCAATTTGGGGCATATTAGATATGATAGTCTAATGCCACTACACAGGTCAACCCGTCGCAATGACCAGTCGATTACCATACATTGAAGAACACATCGACTATTTCATTTGCTACCTCTCACACGATTCGATGTGTTGATTGATAGTCAATCTTATATCTCATATTTTCAGCGACCACATGCTCTGCGATATTGCTGGAATAAGACAATGCGAAAGCGAAGAAAAAGAGAAGTTGTTTGATGAAAGGCTGGATTCTCCATTGTGACCTTCATGGAGCATACATTAATCTGAGGAAAGGAGGACAAACAGTCATATGGCATTCATTTGCATGAGGATGGAAACGTTTGATGATCATTTATTGATAATGACCAACAAAATGCTGTGCTTCCTCTCTGGAAAAATCAAGTTGTGGTTTTGTGTCGCATCAGAAGAATAAAAAAAGCCATGTTTCGTGATTTTGTGTAAACAAATATCATTTGACATCAAACTTTAATTTCACTGGTCTGGCTTTGTCCACCTTGGCAAAAAGCTAGAATAGACTCAACACACTTGTGTCACAATTAAAACAGGTTCCAGTCACCATTTGTTCTTTTTGTTGATTTTAAATCACTCAGACATTACAACTGGATCAGATTCAGCACATCAGTTTGACTGCCTATGAGCCCCCCCTTAACATCCGTCCAGGACTAGGAACATCAAGGTAAACAACACTGCATGCAGGAATGCAGTTCCACGGTGTTCTATGACAGTGTGATTCACTGCAAAACAGTGTTGTAACTGTATAACATTGGTTAGGATTCGGTAGAGGGTAGTAGTGTGGAAGACACCATATTTAGCACATGCCCGTATTGTTTCAGAGAGGACCTGCATTTGTGTGAAGATCATCTGTCACCCTGGATGCCTGGATACACAGCCTTGGCCTATTCTGGCAGCTTGACCACTGTTGCAGTCACGTGAATGATATTGTCACGAGGGCTGAAACAGTAGGCTCTTACCAAGGTACTGCAGGTATTGTGCACAAGGCCTTCGGTTCGGTCTGTACGGTATATCAGATATGATCATAATGCAGAAAATTGACAACAAGAGCCAAACCTTACATTGGTTAATAACGTGGGGAAGACAATAACCATAATCTTTGTTATTTTGATGAACAAAACTAACATTTCATGACTAGATAGAAGAACGGTGCGAAAACCGAATTTTTGGATTGCATTACGGTGAACCGTAGCAAAATACCGCAGTTCTACGAATACCACGGTATACCGTTTCATCCCTAATTGTCACTAACATCCTTGGTATTACCACTGCCAGTTTGATTCATGCTACCATTGGAGTTTGTACTGCCATTGTTGTTGTACTGCCACTAAACTGTGTCCTGCAGCTGTAATTGTTCGGCAGAAACATTCTCTCATATGTTTGTTCAAATTGTTCAATTGTTTTCATTTCTGTAAGGGCCCTAAAGCAATGTGAAGTTACAAGGATGAACTGTTATATATGAAATGACATCATTAAAAATTATATATGAAATGACATCATTATCTGAGCGGCTATCTCTGCTTGAAATCAGTAAAAAACTATAGGTAATGTGAAAACAGCTTTCCCTTTAGCTTTGAATTACAGATTATCTTTCCCAGGTGAATTAATGTCATAAGTGCACTGGCATGGCTCGGAATCAAATTCGCTCAGGACACATAATCTGTAAATCCTTGTGTCACGTAAATATGCTCTAAACATGCAATGTCTGACAGATCTACTTCACTGATTCAATACATTCATTTTATCATCTTTAGTAAACATTGTCATGCCTTCAAATGTGATCTGTGTTCAAGGTGTCCTATTTGCATCCCTGCTGATAAACACTACATCCCTGCATTAAAGGACATTTATCATCTTACATGATATCTGTTTATTTGTTAGTGAGGCATTTTCAGCAATATTCCACCCACATGGTGGCAGCACATAAATAATTGAGCACCAGACAATCCAGTGATTAATGTTGCGATGATCTGCACCAAGACACAGTGGCACAAAGTCAACCGAGTCATTTGAATGATCTGAGATGATCTCTTAAAATGAACTCATGATATCCAGAGCATATCACAAATCTATTAATCTTTCTGGCTGTGTGAATGAAGACAAATCAGTCCAAATTATGACGTCAAAAAACACAGCTGAATGTAGCACGGCCAAAACATCCTCATAACATTTTTTACCATGAAAAAAACCCAACCATTCCCAATACAAACCAGATAAATTGTCCTTCTACTACATGGGAATATTTATCACTTCAATATGAAGCAGAGCACCTCCAACACTAACAATGATGGATCTTAAATGCCATAAACCTTCCCTTCCATTTCATTCCCTCATACAAATCCATACATATCAGACCTGAGAAGTTGGTGATATTGATCATCTGGAAATTCTTAGCCTAAAATTGACCATTTTCTTCGACAGGGAGGCAGGTTAATGTAGGATTTGCTATCATGATCAACCAAATGGCATCCCACGAGCTGGGCAAACCTTTAGACACAAGAACCTTGCCACAGGGAGGTGAGGTTTAGACCCATAATAATCCCAGAAGACCCCACTGCCATGTCACTTGCTGAAGACCCCTCACAACATCTTTTAATAACAGAGTGTCTTGTAAATTACCTACTGATCACTGTTATCCATGCAAGATGATTGTATTACCACTTTTAGCTTGTGAGTCATCTGAAGTGGGTTTTTTTCAAAACGACATTTCCTGAAATTTCAGTCAGTTTGACTGATCGTGTTGTCTAGGTTATTTGAGGTAAAGGGCAAATAGGCAAGTAAAGTAAACAGGGTAGAAGGGATCTCTCCAAATATAATTCTACATTGTCTAACAAAATGATTTTAATGTGGAAATGTTCCTTAGACTGCCCGGCTTAAAAGCATATATTTGGGAAAGGTCAGACCTACTTGGGATTGTGGGTTCTGTGCAGACACTTTTGGGTTTGAGTTTCTGAGAGAAAGCCTGCGGTGTCTAAAAGTACATATGTTCTTGTCACACAGAAACCATGTCTGGTTGCAGACACAGCTGTATTACATAAGGCTTATGTCCATGTCAGTCATAAGCTGCCTGAAACCTATCTAACACTTTCCATTCTTTGACCCGGCTGAGACTATCTTGAGACGCAAACGAAAGAATGATCCTTTAGACTGGATAATTCAAACCTGTACAAAGAACATCTAAACAGTAATATTCTAACTTGTACACATTTGCCAGTCTGGGTTAGTGAGAGAAACATTCAAGGCTACTTGATCTAACGGGCTCATTTTCAGTAGATTTTTGTGGACTTTTTGTGGGCTGAGCTTAACACTAATGAAATTTTATAATCAGTGTATGAAATAAGGCCCGTCTGACCGCCCGAGATGGGCTAGATTTCTTAAGGACGGTCTAACTTTACAGCTAGCCAGCCCCATGGTCTGGTAAAAAATTTAAATGTTCCATACATCTCAGTGAATTCACCATATTTGGTCTGGTTAAATCCAGTTTGTCTGGCTGGAATTTTGGCTTATTTCATACACTGTTATAACACCCGACAACAGTTGTGGCTCACTTTGCAGAAGCACTTTTAGAGCACTTGCACAAGTGAAACAGTGAAATGAAGTGTTGCACCAAAGTTACAGTGACCCTGTAAATGGTTGATGTACATAAAGATATCTGACATTACAACAAGCATGGGTAACTGAAGACTACACTGCACACGGGTAAAGCGACCTTGAGAGGGTGCACCAACAAAGTCAAGATAACAATAGGATAGGAAAGTGAAGGTCCTCTTTATATAGCATGGATTAGTTAATCTAATCCATCTTTTGGACGGGCATTGACATTTCTTTGTAAATAGTCCATGATTTTCATACTGCCATTGTATCACAGCAGTCTGTATATATAACCAGACAATCCTGTGACTGACATAGTGACTAAATATCTATGCAGTTGGGATATGATGACACGAATCAACAATGTCCACAAGTCTGACCATCCCATTCTTTAAGTTGTATCCTCAAAAAAGCATGTGTTGGTGAAGACCAATTCTAACCCAGTGATCTTAGTTAATTTGACAGACAGGAATTTACTTTACTTTTGTTGTTGGTAATCCTCTAAAGCAGTCCTGCACTTTGACATAAATGACACTGTCCACCATATCATGTCATCTGCCCTTTGTAGGATATGGTGGTGTTGTTATAGTTTTAGGGCGATGTGGGCCAATAAGAGGCCTATTTACACCCGAAGGACATGATATATAAGAAGAGTGTTGTCTCACCTTGAGTTTCTGATAAATGACAGATGTTGTAATGGTGGAGTTGATCCTCCTCATCAGCTTCACCACCTCTGTCTCCTCCAGCAGCCCTGACTGACCTGAGTCCGCTTTCTCAAATAGCTCCAACAACCATGTGCACATGTTAAGGAATTATACATTTCAAAACAACAAATTTACAAAAACAATCCTGAATTACAAAAAGCACCAGTTCAGTGAATGCCTGATATGTATACAAGGTTCCAGAAGAAATACTGACTGGTTTGGGAGTTATACTCTGGAAATGAAATGTGATGGATGGATGGTACTCAAGAGTAATTAGGACTAGTCTGTCTCACAGTCCCTGAACCACATTAATTTCCCTACTGCCAAGCCCTCTCTGCAGTGCTAAAGCCCTAAATAAAGCAAGTCTAGATTTCCTCAGGTTCAGGTTCTGAATCTCTGGTCTCCCTAGGGCTCCTTTTCAATATAAATGGGCTTGTTTGTTACTATCAAAATTATATATATTCAGAGACTAAGCCTTAGTCTAAATTAGGACCTGCAAAACCACTTCAGTCCGAATCATTTACATGACACAGGGAAATAGTGTTGCACAATTTGTGTATGCAGTGTTCACGAATAGCGTCGGACCCTCCGACAAATTCGGCAGATTCGAAGCTCAACACAGCAATATGTTCCACCTGAAATAACAGGGCCAAACTTCTTATACAATCTATACTGTTTACTTAAAATGTGAATTTAAACTTTAAGGTGGACAAAGGTAATTTCATTTAACACAAATGTTTTTCACTAGGACAAGGATAAAATGAATTATACCTGATTATCTAACTGTTTTTTAAACATGATCTCATTCAAAAGAAAATCATTCAACTGTGACGTGTCAGCAGAATTATTTCTCATCTTTAGTCAAACATGTTTCTTCCTTATCACCCTTCTGACCATAAAGTGGGGCGGTGGGGTAGCCTAATGGTTAAAGCGTTGGCTCGTCATGTCGAAGACCCGGGTTCGAATCCCCACATGGGTACAATGTGTGAAGCCCATTTCTGGTGTCCCCCGCCGTGATGTTGCTGGAATATTGCTAAAAGCGGCGTAAAACCAAACTCAGTCAGTCAGTCAGTCTGACCATGAAGTGCTACTTCCAGTTCTTGAAGCATATATTCAGACATAGCCCATCTGTAAAGAGCCACTTGAAACTAGCCGATATGTTCAAATGTCCTTCCAGCCATTCTAATCAAGACTAACACTGAATTATCTTGGCGACTGACGTTATTTCTTAGCCGTTCTCTTTGACACTGATGCAGCATAGAATATGTCTGAAAACATCAAACCCGCCACATCAAAATAACATCATGGTCTTGTTCTGCAAATCTTCTTATCCTCTGGAGGCCTTGATCATGACCCGTATCAAACAATACAGAAGTACTGTTAAAATACTCACCCTAGATCCCCAAGCTTACAGTCGATAACAATGGTGCCCTTCACAGAATCCTCACAGGCATAAATATACCACTGTCCATGATAATACTAGCATCATGTCAAATCTAATCAAGAATTTAAAGTCAGAAGGAAGCCCAAAACGTTGTTGCTATTTTTACATGACATCAATGCCTGTTTTCTTTGGCTACTTAGGACCCAGCACTCAATAATCCCAGCTTCGTCTTTGCACAGTGTCATCAGGCCATGATGAAATATATTGTGACTGCCAAATTTATTTTCCTTTTGCTGGTGGTGGCCCTAATCTAATGGAGCTGATACTGCAATAACAGCTGTGATGAAGTGGGGCAAATCTCTCTTGTATTGAATAAGGATGGAAGTCATTAAGGGCAGGGGGAGCGTTGCTGCCTGCAACAGGAAGTGAAGAACTGAGTTATGTCCCTTGCTGATGGCTTCCTGAACTACCAGTGCATGTCATCTCAGTGTCTTGTCTCTTGCAATGCTTAACTTGATTAAACCAAGAGGTCACAATCAAAAGAGGTGAGGTGAGGTGAAATTGGGTTTTACGTCGTGCTTGAGAATATTTCGCTCATATGACAACGTGCATGCGTGTGTATGTGTATGTGTGGCTGCTTGTACTAGCCCAGACTGAAGCTGGTTTTATAGTGCTAGCCCACATACCATGCCGCAGTGAAGCATGAATACCCCACTCAGACACATTATACTGACTCCGAGCCGACCAGTCCTTGTTGTACCCATTAATGCCGAGGGCCAGGCAGGGACCAACAAGTACCATATTTTAACATCTTTTGGTTTGACGCGGTCGAGGGGATCGAACCCGCGACCTTCCACTCTCCGGGTGGATGCTCTAACCACTACACCACGGAGGCGGTCCACAATCAAAAGGACATATATTGGCAGGTCATATTGTTGGTCCTGAAGCTGATAGGTTGCTGTGTGAAGTCTTTCTGGTCAGATGACAGAGCATCTGACAAATAGATCCTGACAATGGCATAGTTTCTAGCAATGGGTAGATTCTGATGAAGAGCTAGGTTGGAGGTCGTGCATTGATTCTGATAATTGGAATAGTCTGATCAAACAAAGATAAGGGGTAGAATCTATGAATGGGTAGATCTTGATATGCCTGTCTAATCTGACATTGTAGTTGATCCTGGTTATGGGTTGATTTTGAATATGGATACATTCTGGTATTAGTTTGATAATGGGTCTAATCTGAGTAGATTCTGGTAATTGGGGTGGTCCTGTAATGCATAGATTTAAATAATGAACTGGTCCTGCTAACGGGTAGATTCTGACAAGTCCAACCATTTCCCTGAGCCAGGTCTAGGAGTAGACTGAAGTGATGGTATAAAACAAGAACATTACATTAAAAAGCCTGTCTTTCTTCATAAACTATTGAATGCAGCATTCTACCATACTGTTGATATACTGTCTTGCATTGTGGACACATTCATCACTTAAGGATGCACAGTGGTATTTACCACAGTGCATCCTTAAGTGATGAATGTGTCCATCATCACTTAAAAGCGCTACCATTTTGGTTTTGGTTTTGCTGCCATTTTAATGTTGTGCTCGGCAATATTTCAACGGCATGACAACCGCCGGTATATACTGAAGCCAGGACCTGTGATATCTAAACAATATGGGCATCAACCAAGTCAGCGAGTCTGGCCACAAGATCACATTTGTCACCTCTCATGACAAGCATGGAAAGCTGTAGACCATTGGTAATTCCAAGCCAGATCTTCATTGGTCTTTTTGCCTTGAGTACTAACCAGCCATGTTAGGGAAGCCAATGATAACAACTCACATTCTTTACACATTCATATTTACATCTTGACATTCAAACCAAGAGATTCACATAAAGTTTATAGTTTTTCCTTATCATACATTTCAGGTTTTGTCATATAAGAGAGTTACACCTCAATGCTAACTAAAAGTTAAACCATGCTCATATCTTCCACTGTGCACCACTCTGAACACCATCTGTACACTTGTCTAAGACTGTTAAACCGAACTCAGGACAAGTATCACTCAATGACGGTGGTTACTGTCTTGTATTTCAGTGCTATCTTTCTGAACCAGTTTACACTGCCTAAACACTGAGGCCTAGTGAAGTTAACACTAATATTCAGTCAGATATGAATCTCTGAGGCTGCAAAAGACTATTGTTCATATTACAATTAAGATATGTAAATTGAGGTCTACTCAAACACAATACACTTGAAATACCTACTGACACATGGTGTATAAAATCTATCACAGAGTCTGCAGTTAATAAAGGATATGTATCTCTCATCTGCTGGAGATCTTCGATCGCATTGGGAGCTGCAACACAAAGGATAATGCTTACAAATACATACTGTATAATATTGACACAGATCCTTATGATAAATACAGATTTATTCAATACTGATTCACTCTGCCATCACCAATATTGCAGCTATATTACATTGCCCTTCAAATAATGTAGACAGGCAAACCAATGGCTGAGTGCATGAATACCCAATACTTTACCCAGAGAAGGTAACAGTATTTATAGAAGTAAGAGAGAGTGAGTGAGTTTAGTGTTATGCCTCTTTCAGCATTATTGCAGCAATATTACGGAGAGGGTCACCAGAAATGGGCTTCACACAAAGTACCCATGTGGGGACTTGAACCCAGGTCCTTGACATGACAAGCGAAAGCTTTAACCGCAAGGCTACCCCACCACCCCAATTGCAGTAGGACTGTGACCAGTGAATCTTAGTAATAGTATTCACAGCAGTACTTACTGCAGTTAGTATGTTACAAGTGAATACTGGTTTTCCCAATACAGTTTGAAACAGTTCTTTCTTTACTGTTGCCAGTAAATATTGAACACTGCCACAGTTAAAGCTTCAGATGACCTTGCTCTTAATCAGAAAAATGGTTGGGTCAACACATGCTGAGATTGAGTTCCCCATGTTCAGAGACAAAAACTCCAATGGAAGCTCAATGTTTCCGACAAAGAAGAAGATAAATTGGATTCAAACCAGGATGAGACTTTTCTGATGATGACAACAAATCATTCTATTTCCAGAATGTCCTTCCTTGGAGGCCAAATGGGTAATGTCGGAGTTTGGAAACCATTATACCAAGTCCTGTAAACAGTGTGTAGCTGCGCATGGATTAATGAGCGTCAGAAAGGAAAAGCTCATTCACATGTCTCTACATCACATTTATCCTGCCAATTTCAAGGTAAAGCACAAAGACAGAGTTCAAGATAAGGCCCCATGAGATTAACTCAATCATGTCTGACTTGTTGTACATGAAACAGCAGAAAAGAAATTCACAATACCATAACGACTATTTTTCTAGTGATGGAATCAATCTCAAGATAAAGACAAACATTATAAAGTCACCATTATCTGTAACCATGTTGGTTGTTTTTCTTACTTTAACATCAATCTAACAGACAAAACAGCTGTTTAGACTGTTTGGCCATTTGTTGGTTTGTCTGCTTGATGTATGAAGCTCACAATGCTACTGTCAGACATCTGCTGTACAACACACTTGGTCAAACCCATTTCAGAGGCAAATGACCTTAATTTCAAAACCACAGCTTAACATTTTGGCTTCACAAACCATTTAAATTAGGAACCATATACATAAATGCTACGCTTTTACTACATCAAAACTTTAATTAGTTAAAATAGAAAATCCTGCAAGTAAAATGCCATACTCAGAAATATTTCTATTTTGGTGGTATTTAAATATTTAAATCTGGACTCCATGACCCAAAGACAGACATCATGAGCTTCATTATTGCAATTTTGTGACGCCAACAACCCTGGGTCATTAGTCACCTCAGCTAATATGTAAGGTGTTGGAAAAATGGGTTGGTGTGTCCCCCCTCCATCCTGAATCTTGTTACAGGTTACATGTGCAGATCAAAAACAAGGCGGGGCAGTGTGCATATTACACATAGGTCCAGGTTTGATTCTCTAAATGTGTACAGTCAGGGAGTCTCATTCTTGATTTTACCACACCAGAAACAGCTTAAGTACATGGAAACTTATGTAACATTCGATGTACTGTTACGTCAAATACATTACTGGGTACCTCTTGGCTAAAATGCGTAATTGACCAATACAATTGACAGCTGCTGTGAGCATGTACCGCTGGAAATGCTGTGTCAACAAATCAATACAAAAGTATGCATGGTAATTCGGTTATTACACATCTGGTTATAAAAATTGATCATTGTACATCTGGACACATGATGGCAGTCTACAATATTAATTCCATTCAAACTTTTAGTCAAATTATTTCCATTAATTTGTGTAAAATCGTGTGTGTGAAGTAAGCAACTGATCCTTATTACAGCACCCACTGTCAAAAATTAGCACAACTCATGCCTCCAAACTTGACAAAGAATGGTTATTTTAAACACACACAGTGAAACCTGCGACTAAAGTAACATGATACTGAAATATGGTATTCCACATCATAATTTTCTGAATGAAATAATACTTCAAAATTCCAATATTAAGTAACATAATATTGGGTAATTTTTAACTAAATCACTCATAGACTGGAAGAAATTGCTCTTGCCTGGAGTGTGGGGTTGGAGTCTTGAGAATGTTATATCGAGTGTTCATTGCATCTAAAGCCAAACCCACGGTCTAAAACAAGCTTTACCTAGTCACAAGGCCAAACCCCATGGCCCAGACAGCATCTGCTGGTATCCCTTCACAACGAATCAATTCCACACCAAAATGAAATTTCCACCATAACCTACTAACCCATACTTTGTCTGGGACACATCAAATCTTTTAAGTGTATTCATGAAGACAAGTTCAGCTCCAAATACTTGCTATTGAAAATCTTTATTACATCCCCTCGCCAATAATTAAACGAATGCTGTGTATGCCATCCCTCACTGCCAACATGAATACCAGAGTGTCCTATTTTTATGCAAAACCAATATTGGTATTGATGTAATTCCAATCAACCACTCTCCAATTTTCCCCTGACAGAGTTCCACAAACTTAAGTCTATAAGTTGCTGAAGAGCACTTGACAAACTCATTTTCAACAAGACCCGGAGTTAACTAAGCTTAATGGAGGCAGTACCAAGACACAAACTTACAGGTCTGAGATTTGGAACTGGCATTAATGAGACAAGTAAGACCAGTAACCCATATATTCGCTTCATCCGGCGTATTGGCGATCAGATCCATCGACTCGAACTCCTCTCCAAAGATTATGGAAAAAGCGCATTCGTCTGGGTAAATCCCAGCAATTTCCTTGTTCCGAAGAGCATCTGTGGTTTTTCCTTGCCGGACCTCTTTGACAGATCGAACGGCAACTGCAACAACAAATGTTTGAGATTGGTTAGTGTAATTACATGAAATGGTGTCAAATGACAGCGACAGGTTGTACGAGTGCCACCTGGAGAGAATTGATGTCACAATGGTTCCTGGATGAAAATGTGCTTAAATCATTATTATCAAATTGTTTGAGAGACACCTGTTGTAGATCTGTATCAAGTAATGTCACAAAAGCATTCAGCGACAAATATGGACACAGTTGGTACTGTCATTATTTTATGTCACTTTACAATACTGACAGAATGTTATCAGAATCTTTCCAGAAGGACAATAACAGCTTATGGGCAGTTTTAAGAGCAAGATAAATCGATTTTGTATGTGGTCATGGGAGTGTTTTTGAAAGTCTACAGGCCCTTGAGGGCTGCTTTTATTCAACATGACAAGGGACCTGTCATTATTATGGAGGTGTGGTTGGTCAGAAGGAATTGGGGATAAGTCTCTAAGGGAGGGTCACCTGGGACAGTCTCTAGGAGAGGGTCACCTAGGACAGTCTATAGGGGTAGATAACCTATCACACTCTCTAGGACAATGTCACCAGAGGACAATCTCTAGGGGAGGGTCACCTAGGACAGTCTATAGGGGTAGATAACCTATCACACTCTCTAGGACAATGTCACCAGAGGACAATCTCTAGGGGAGGGTCACCTAGGACAGTCTATAGGGGTAGATAACCTATGACAGTCTCTAGGACAATGTCCCCAGAGGACAGTCTCTAGGAGAGGATCACCTAGGACAGTATATAGGGGAAGATAACCTATGACAGTCTCTAGGAGAGGGTCACCTTGGACAATCTCTAAGGGAGGTCACCAAGGACAATCTCCAGGGGAGGGTCATTTTTGACAGTCTATAGGGTATGGTCACATAAGACAGTCTATAGGGGAAGGTCACCTATGACAGTCTCTAGGGGAGAGTAATTAAAATGCTTCATATATATAGGGAGGATCAGGGGGATGTTGAAAAACATCGTACTCCCCCAGCGGTCACAAATAATGAAACAGTTACACCTGCAGAAAGAGTTTAAAGCAAAACCCCCGTGTTAATACAGATTATTTTGATACCCGTAACTGAACAGACAGATGACTTATTGTAAAAAGTTATGTCCCTTCAGTTCTGCAAGGAATTGCTGGCTTCAATCCATGCATATTGTCAGTGTAAATTATTAACAATAAAAACAACAATAACAAGCCCATCTAAATTGCACTCCACATCTCACAGTGGCATGTTCAATGCACAACATTATCATAACCTAGGTCAATGGATCAATGTGCACTCTATTTTAATTGTCAGATTGTCAGAGAGAATACAACCAAGTCACACAATATTCAAATCCCAGTTGGATACACTGATGGCTTTGTAGTTTAAGTTGCCAAGAATTTTTCCATTTGCATCACCTAGGTGTACCAGAATCTACTACACATGGGTAACGCTTGAATCCAAGGAATAGATTGCTAAAGATTTTTTTCTTTCTTTTTTGTGATCACTTGACCCGTGAGTTTTGTCACACTTGTAAAAGTGTATTACCTGGAAAATGACAGATGTACATAGTGTTGTGTAATGTTCAAATGATATCAATCAAATCTCATCCCTACAAATTCTGTGTTTGAAACATGGTTGTCAAGGCATCAAGTTACAAAGTCAGGGATCCTTGATTCAAGTACTACAGTAGGACCTCAAAGACACATACTAAACCCATCTGAACCCCAGCTTTCTATTACTTGTCAAATAACTACTGATTTCTCATTAAATCCTTAATTCGACTTGAGTTCCTCCCACTTCTAACATGATGACCGGAACCGATACAAACCACACCACAAGTTTTACAACTGCCCATAAACTCTCATTCCAGAAAATAATTGCTCATACCGCAGACAAACCTACAGCAACTCAAATATATTACTTTACTTCACTACATCCATACATATCAAGGCCTAGTACACTTCATTACACTCCACATAATACCCAAATAAATAATCAATCATAATCTTCCTAACATATATCCCATGGCACAGCAACCAATCAGTGAAGAGCATCTTCAATGATGCAATCCTTCTCTGGTTTTCTTTCAATTAGTAATTTTCAAAGACAGTCATCTGCCCTAATATTCAACATGCTGCTACACGAGGACACCGAAAGCTTCAACACAGTTGCTGCTAATAGGTGGAGACTTCAGGACCCTTGGGTAATCAGCATTCTGTCAGATGGTACTGCACCAATTTCACCGGCCTTGATGGACATAGCACTTGTGTACTTCCCACGAAAAGAGATGCTTACTTCCTGAATCTAATGGTGAGGAAAGGTCAGGCACACAACATAGAGGACATGAGAATTTGTTGAACAGTTATCAGTAAGAAAGGCCAAAGTGTCAATGTATGGTGGGTCACCTGCGGTGATGTCAGTCAGGACTGACTGACTGAGTTTAGTTTTACGCTGCTTTTAGCAATCTTCCAGCAACATCACGGCCGGGGACACCAGAAATGGGCTTCACACATTGTACCCATGTGGGGATTCGAACCGGGGTCTTCGGCGTGACGAGCCAACGCTTTAACCACTAGGCTACCCCACTGCCCTGACATTCAGGAACAGCATGTGGATGACTGTGAATGATGGAGGGTAAGGTGAGGGAGGGAAGCAGGGATGAGAGAAAGGACAGAGATGTGGACATTAGAGAAAAAGGAAGTGAATGAGAAGGAACACAGAACTGAATGTGTCAACAGCCACGTTTAGGATTTTAGGTTGGATATAACCATACAAAACATATCAAGGCACCCAACTTAGACATAGCGAGTGGCCTAAGTCATAGCTAACCAGGCCATCAAGATATCATTATCAGTGCCTAAGTCACCACACTATCAAGATTTCAGTGAGCTAAGTAACCAGACCATCAAGAAAGGCCTAAAGTCATAGTGAACCACACCATCAAGATATCAGTGCCTAAGTCACACACTATGAGGATTTTAGTGCATTCAGGCATAGCGAACCACATCATCAAGACTTCAGTGGCCAAAGTCATAGCTAGCCACATCATCAGGATTTCAGTACCCTAGGTCACTGAGCATTACATGATAATACCCATTTAGTACCCAAAACCATAAATCACTTCATCAGGGTACACAGAACATCAAGTCAATGAGACATATACCATCAGAATACACAAGTCACTGAAAGGGCACTACACCATATGGCGAAGGCTGCACACAATCACCACCATTTCCCTAATGGTAGTTGGTCTTCCACCATGATTGCCCATGGATATACCATGCCATACTCTATTGACCGTATATTCCCACAGTGGTCAACTTTTGGATCAGGAATGGCCAGAGCACTGACTATCAATTCTACATAGAGTCCCTGAAGAGGCCCACAATTTATTTGTTAACATTTATCCCAATCCAGCACCAACTACCTCAGCAACCATCAGTGCAGAATTACAATTCACTTCCCAGGCACATTAATGCTGCTACACAAAACAGAAACTAACTTCATTACCATAGCTACTAAAACCACGGAGCACAAGCATAGTTGATATGATTTCCAATGATGGAGGTACCAAAACTGTCCCAGTGAGACATGAAACATAGTAAATATTTGTATTGTCAGCAGCGACATAATTTAATTCCTCATTGTCGTTCTGTTCAGACGATCAAAGGTCATTACCATCCTGGCTCTTATTAGAGTATTAGTGTCTGCAGTATGTTATAAAGAGACAAGCAGTTGTCACTATAGATCAATGGTAACAGGATGACATCCTGTTGAATACCACATGATGGAGGCTGTTTTCTACATGATTACATACACACAAGTCAATAACAGTACAAAGTCAACTAATATTCGTCCATCTAAAAATGGCAGACCTATCCATTACATACGGAATGAAATTGTGGGCCAGCTCAGTTTGTGTAAGCCACATTCCACGCCATGGGAGGCAGCCTCAGTGTCTCCAGTCATCCTATATTCATAGAACAGGCGGCAGTGGTGACAAAAATACAAGTTGGGTATTAACAGATCTATTAGATGGATGACCTGGTATCTGAGCCAAGAGGACAGCATTATTAATCAACAGCACATCTCTTCACTGTAATTCTCCTGGGGTGGGAGTTACGAGAGGGAGCAAGTCTGACTAATGGAAGTCGTGTGGACCAGATTGGTGAGAAATCTGAGAAAGGTTTGGTGTGGGTGTGACAGCAATGATGTGATGGGGGTGGGGACAGGAAGAGACAATTCATTTTCTAGGAAGCCTGTCCGGGGTCAGGAAGTACAAAGGGATGATGTTTGTGGGAGGATGAGACTTTGGTTGATGGACTGGGAAGCCTATTTGATGAGGTGGAGCTATGTTTTGTGATTTGACATCTGAGATAATGGATCATGGTTGTGTGTTTGGATATTTGAAACGATGGATCAAGGTTTTGAGGTTGGAAATTTGAAACAATGGATCATGGTTGTGTGGTTGGAAATTTGAAATGATGGATCAAGGTTTTGAGGTTGGAAATTTGAAATGATGGATCAAGGTTTTGAGGTTGGAAATTTGAAACAATGGATCATGGTTGTGTGGTTGGATATTTGAAATGATGGATCAAGGTTTTGAGGTTGGAAATTTGAAACGATGGATCAAGGATTTGAGGTTGGAAATTTGAAACAATGGATCATGGTTGTGTGGTTGGATATTTGAAACGATGGATCAAGGTTTTGAGGTTGGAAATTTGAAACAATGGATCATGGTTGTGTGGTTGGATATTTGAAACGATGGATCAAGGTTGTGTGATTTGGATATTTGAAATGATGGATCAAGGTTTTGAGGTTGGAAATTTGAAACAATGGATGAAGGTTGTGTGGTTGGAAATTTGAAACAATGGATCAAGGTTGTGTGTTTGGATATTTGAAATGATGGATCAAGGTTTTGAGGTTGGAAATTTGAAACAATGGATGAAGGTTGTGTGGTTGGAAATTTGAAACAATGGATCAAGGTTGTGTGTTTGGATAT